ATCTAGTATGCTCAAATCTCTCTTCGTGGAACACGTGGATTTAAATTTATATAAATTAAAAAGTGAAGAAGAAATTGAGCAAATAAGAAGAGGGTTAGAAAGAGATGGAAACAAATGGATTGCAGGTGGTTCCACTGATAATGACTCTTGACACAACTTTTTTGGGCATAAAATGGCAACCTCATACTTCATTTTAGGAGCATTATAATTTTCGACAAAAAATGAAATTGTTGTCATCTTATTATAAAAGAAAATGAGAAAATGTAGCAGGTTGCCTTAAAAATAAATATTATATTAATTATATTAGAAAAATAAAAAATATTTTTTTAATATTCATGTGTCGATAAATTTGTATCATGTCACGTTCCTAATGGAGGTCAATATCCTACAAATTTGAAAAAATTGAAGATTAGAAAAACAAACTTACATTAATTTACATACCTCCTTGAACAAGTTGGATGCGACTGCAATTTGTCTTACTAACAATCAAGGAAGAAATTTGAAAACTTATCTCTTTTGAGACATAACAGTCTAATAAAAATATCGTGTAACTCAAATCGTGAACTAAAGCATAGATTTTTTTTTTTGAAAGAAACCAAACTAAATAAATTATGAGCGAATCATCCGTGGACGAGCAGCTCCTATAACATCTCCAAAAAGAAGAAGACTTGCGCTTGATGGGGGACCTCGTACCAAAACGATCTATCTGATTAAAAGACAAGTTGGCCATATGATCAGCAATAGTATTAGCTTCACTATAAATATGAAGAATTTGAACTTGATGAATAGACACCTAAAAAGTTGGCCAATCTTGATGAAGAAGCATTCGAATTCAAGAAAGAGGAAATCAGTTCCAAAGGGAAATGCTAAAGAAATCCCCGCCATAGATGTCAATGTAAGCTAATTTCTCTTCAAGCATTGGAGGGTTTTGAATCCCTGTTTTTGGAAATCAAAGTAGTAACACATTTGATTAATTCAATGCGAGTTGCATCAGAATACAGTGAATCAACTGCAAAAAGAAGCAAGTCAGATGATGAAGGTTCTATTGAGAAGGGTAATGCTAAAAAGGCAGATGTAAACGAATTTGATAAAGCCATTGGAGATGGAAATCAGAATGAAGTAATTTTGTTTTTGGTTTTGATTTTTAATTACTTGTTTGGGACTCATTTGTAATTTTTGACAAATTTGGACATATGGTTGCAATTAGTTCTTTATTGTTTTCTTTTTGTTTTATTTAAATAAGATAGTATATTTGTCATTTCACAGATTTTTATAAGGAAGATGGATGAAAATTAAGGAAAATGATATTTTTCACAATGAAACGTGGAAATAGGGGTGAAATGCAAAAAAAAAAAATGAAACGTATGGACATTTTACACACGAAAGGCCAAACGTAAGAACGTTTTGTGCTAAAATAAGCCGGCTCATATAGTTACAGAAGATTCAAACTAGTTGAGTTTTTTCAATTTCATTTAACTTATATTATTACTTGGAATATTGCCCAATGTTAATCTTAAGGTACGATAAATTAGATGATAGAAGACTAGAAAGATTAAATTTAGTTGCATGTGAAAATTTATAATATTCTATTCTTCGATCCGACATACATATTTTTATATTTTTGTAGAAACATTCAATATGTAATTAATAAATAGTTATATGATATTTGTACTTTAAATTAATTACATGCTCATTTTTGGCATACTTTATTTCTAGTTAGATTCTCTTTCCATCTGTGAGGGTTTGGGACTGGAAAAACGAAGTGTTAGAAATCTGGAGTTAGATTAGGCATATTAAGTAGGAGGAGATGCTTGTCGGCTCGGCTCGCTTGTGGAGTCGTGATCATGCCATTCGAGTTGCACGTTGGCTCGTGTATGATCCCAATAGCTCACGGCTTGAACCGTACTTGTTGAGTGAGCTAGTTTATCTAATGAACAATTATTTTATCTAAAGATATGATTAGCAATAGTATTAGCTTCCCTAAAAAGTCGGCCAATCTTGATGAAGAAGCATTCTGACCGGAGATGAGAGATCCCCATTCTGAATAGACATCAAAGATATTAACCCAAGTAGAAAGATATTCATAAAATGTTCTTGATTTACCAAATTTACCAGCATCATATTGCGCACGAGATTACATTCAATTTTGGAATATACCACAATCAACAAGCCATCACACTTATATTTTGAATCATTTAACTAGTTGCATTCCAAACACTTGAGAATCTATATAATGTCATGTTGATCAATGCAATGAAAACCATCAAACTTTTAATCTTCTATAAATTAGTGTGATTGTATATTATTTCAACTTTGTTTTACAATCCTCGTTAAGAAAGGTACAAGCTAAGGATACGTTGGTACAACCACAAAAGTAAGACACATAAACCCTTTTTCATGTAAATAATATGATAAAGAACCATTTCATTTTATTTTTGCAAAATTAAAAGGGGTAACTGTTTTATAATTTTATTTATATAAATTGAATAAATGAAAGCCAACTGGTAGGGTCCACGTATAGGACAACTGTGTCAAGGTCCTTCACTCATTTTATACACTAGTTATATATTGTTTGTGATGTAAAATGTCTTTTTTTTTTTTTATTAGCTGAGACAGGTCCAAAAATACAGTGCCACGACTACAAACAAACAGACATAAATTACTACATTAGTTAGCTTCATAGGAAATAAATGGAGTTTCTTATTCGTGCCTTGACTTGAAAATGTCACGATCCAAATTTCATAACTATTTTTCCGTTTATTTTAATAATTAATGGTGTCAAATATATTGGTTTTCAAAAAATTATTTAATAGGGTTTATGTATAAAAAAGACAACAATATTAAGCCCTTGTTTGAGTCTCATTATTTGGCAAAAAATGTATTTTTGAATAGTAGATTAAAAGAGAATGTGTAGTTAAAAAATAAGGAACAATTTTGGGTTTGCTTGTAATATTATATTTTTGAAGAATGTGCGGTTAAAAATAAGATAGAGAAAAATGTATTTTGAAAATAATGAAAATCAAACCTGGGCTAAATTCAGAAACACCCGACTCTCTTTTTATTATTATTATTATTATTATTATTATTATTATTATTTTAAGAGCTCATGAACTTCCAAAATGTTACATTTTGACAAATAATATGAAAGTGGGCGTTTCGGTGTCTTGATAATATGGATTTTATGTTTTTAAATGTGTGGTTGAATTAAGAAAATATTGGATATTCAGGATGTGTTCTCTTTTGTAAAATATCATTCAACCAACCTTCTACACGAATTAGGGCTTGGGTATTTATAGTTTAAAGAGTTTGGAATGGTATAGAATAGATAAAATTACCGAAAATCTCGAACTAGGTTTTCCTAGATGAACATGTTACTCGAGCGCCAGGCGAGCGACAAATGTGTGTGAAGCTAGTGCTCAGCAGCTTCTCTGTTTTGAGCGCTTGAGCATCAACTTGTCGACATGCTAGCATTATTCCGACTATTTTATCTCATTGTTCCATCTTTGATACTTACGACTCCTAGTTCACCTCTACTACCCACCCATTGACAATTTGACTTTTATAAATTCGATATAACTTTAATTTTGTCTATGGAAATGCCAATAACTATAAAACCTAACACGATTAAATGACAGAACATTGTTAAGCAGACTGTGATAGTTTTAATAGACTGCAACATCAGCCTCGCAGGATTTTACATTTCTACACCATATCAATCCAAAAAATTCATTCAAACACATTAAATTGAATAGAAAGTGCAGTGAATAAGTATAAACAAAAGTAGAACAAAGGGTTTATTGATTTCAGTTCTTAGTTATAATTTGATTTAGTTTAAATATAAAGAAAGAAAGAATGAATGGAGGGAGGGAGAAGTAGTTTGTTGATAGGGATCTTTCAAATTTCCAACATGGAGAACAGTTCCAATGGTTTAAGAGCATCAAAAAGAAATTCTTTATTTTTAAAGAGCATTATTTTGCAGTTTAAAAAGCAACTATAAATATAAAGAGTAAAAAATTTGAAGTACTCTAACATGCCTTATATTTAAGACTTAATTTTAATACTCCCAAAAAATATTTATTGTTTTTTCTATCTTTTATTTTTACTAGCTCTCCTTCAAATTATTATATTACTTTTCTTCATTGAAAACTGTAATATTTTGAATGCATTTAATTATAAAGAGTAAGTTTGACCCTTCAAGTTTAGAAGTAAAACTCACTCTCTAATTTAAAGAGCGTATAATTTTAATAATTAACTCTTTAAAATAGAAAGCATCTTTAAAAGAGCACCTTGAGGATGCTCTAAATGCCCTTTTGAAACATATAAATAAGGATATCTGAGACTTTTAACATATATATATAATAGGACTTTTAACGTATATATACAATAGGCTTTAAGAACTTATTTTGAGTAAGGTACACTCCTGATCAGATCACTTATGATAGATAGACAACACAATACCCCTACATTAGTTATATTTTATCTGTTCAACAAGTTCGGTAATCAGATTTTGTGTTTGTCGATAGAATTTCTGAAGAAGAGTTAGAATGGAATTTTCTGAGAGGCAAGTCCTTATAGCACACATGGACTACTTGCTGCCCTGTTTCGCCGTTCATTTGGGGACTTCAACGTAAAACAATGGTCATTGGTTTGATTTCGCATTCCAAGTTTCCAACTTAAAGTGAAATTCTGTCGAGTTAGTTGCGTTGCACTCTTCACTATTTATCAGAAATCAAAGCTAACTTGATTGTCTGCATTTGAGAACATGTTTCTTATCCTTATTAGTGCTTCTATCGAAAAATATATTGGTTTGTTTGGTGAAACTCAAACTCGAACTCAAATCTAATGGATTGAAAAGAGAAATCGAGAATGCTATAACTTAGCAAAATAGCATAAAAAAGATTAGCTAACAGAAGACACTTTTTATGAAGCATAACTCAGTGAAGGCTAAGGCAGAAAGATAAACAACAAGCAAGTTATACTAGACAATTTGCACTAGACTTCTACGAGATTTGGAGCTTTGGGATGTGGGAAATACTGATCCAGTATTGGTCTCCATTTTCCTTCTTGTATTTCTGCTGTATGAGCGGACAATTCTGGATACGCAACTTCCTTATTGGTGCCGCCTTGAAGAGAGGATGCGGTAGTGCCTTCAGATTGCTGCAATTGTAAAGTTTCAAAAAGTGGAGTCTAGGCATGATCTTGATGTTTTCATCTGCAGCTTTGATCATGTTCCATTCTTCCCAACTTCCCATGTTTGAAATTTTCAGTTTCTTCAACTTCGGGAATGCAATATTTTGAGCTGATGGCAATGCCAACGATATATCTTTGCTATCTGTTGTGATTTGATCATTCACATTTTTTGTTATCCCCAAAAATTCAAGCCCAAGAGATTTCAGATTATGCAGACCATCTATGTGGAGAGTTGCTAGGGACGGAAGTCTTCCAAGAGGAGGCAAAATTGTGCAATTTTGGCACTCTTGAAGTGAAAGATCTCTCAGGTTGGTTAAACTTACCATCCAACTGGGGAATCGAGTGCCTCCATATGAACTTATCACCAAAGATTGCAACCCAGGGTGCACCTGAAGAGCTTCAATCACTTCATCTTGGTTGCCTGTTCGAGCCTTAGGGTCGAAGTCGAGGTGCAAGTCCGAAATATGTTTCTTTTCACTCAACTCTGCTATCTGTGCCTCAGCAGCATTTGTCTCGTAACCCAATCCTTCGATTTTGAGACATCCTCGAAGGTTCTTCAAGTTTTTCAAATCCTCTAGCCCGCATGTCGCTGTTTCAACATCACTACCACGAACAATGACGAATTTGCTCAACGTCTGAAGTGAGCTCAAGTTGCCAATCCCTTTTGGTAATGTTTTAAGACTATCAGTGCAATCTATCTCAAGGTGCCTCAAATTTACTAATTTCCCCATTTCTTGAGGCAGTTTTCCAAGCTTGTCACAGGCAGAAAGATTCAAGGTTTGTAAATTATACAAATCACACAACGTTGAAGGCAACTCCCAGAATGGGTTATGGGATAAGTTGAGGAACTTCAATCTAATCAACTTCCCAACTTCTTCTGGAAGTTTACCCAACCTGTTGCGACTTAAATCTAACGCCTTGAGACATGCCAAGCGATTGCATAAATCTGGCTCAATCCTGTCCAGTTCACTTACAAGTGAAGGCGTATCAAAGAATGACTGAACCCAAAATGAGTGTAGTTTTTGTGCATTAGCAATGGAAGTAGGAAAGCCGGCGTCTTCTGCGCGTACCAGGGTCAAATGACGAATCGTTTTATAAGACGATCCCAAATTTACAGCTAACTCCCCATCAACCTCCACCACAGAACATTCTCTCTTTGTAAGATATTGTGCAAAATCATGAACCATGTCATGCATCTTAAATCTTAAAATCCTTTTACCGTCCTTGTCCTTTTCTATGTCTTGGAAGAAAGACCTCATAGCCAAATTTTGTAAGTATTCCTCACCTAATACTTCCATTTCTACATTTTTCTCAGGGCAGAGATAGCCTTGCGCCATCCAGAGTTTGATCAAATTGCTTGCGTTGATGATGTGATCTTTTGGAAAGCAAGCACAAAACGAAAAGCACCTTTTCATTGTCGAGGGCAAATCGAAGTAGCTCAACATCAAAGGAGGAAAGAGACCTTTTTCTGCTTCTTCAAATTCCCAGAATTCACTATTCAGAACATTCTGCCAATCTTGTAAAGAATTCTTGAAGCGCATAAGACTGCCAATAGTCTTTACAGTAAGAGGTATGCCCCGGCACTTGTCAGCTATTTTCCTACCAATACCTTCCAATTCTTCACAATCCTCTTTACTTCTTTCGAAAAATGCTATTTGACTGAATAGTGACCAACTGTCCTCGTCTGCCAACTGCCCCAAATGAAGCTCATAGCTACTAAACATTTTCGCAACTCTCTCGTTTCTGGTAGTCACTAGAATTTTACTTCCATCTGCACCAATTCTGAGAGAGTTGAACAATTGTTCCCATTTCCTGTATTCCTCTGTCCACACATCATCTAGCACAAGCAGGAACTTCTTTCCTGAAATAGCGTCCCTAAGGCGGCGCAATACAGTTTCAAGTTCAAATAAATACAAAGCTTTACCTTCAAGGTCCTCAACAATCGCTTTTGCAACTCGAACTTCATCAAAAGGTTCCGAGACACAAACCCACATTTTTCTCTCAAAATCTTGCTCTACAGAAGCACAATTGTAGACCATTTGTGCTAGAGTTGTTTTACCAATTCCTCCCATGCCCACTACAGAAATAACATGGAATCCACGACTTTGGCTAATCGCAGACAACAACTTGCTTACAAGGGTATTCTTATCCACATCTCGACCTCGTACTTCTGATACGTCAATGTAAGAGCTAGTTTTTGGTCTCTCAAGATCACCACTCTCCACTAACATATTAAAATTGTACCTATCTTTCTCGGTGGCAATAACATCAAGTCTTTCGTTTATGTCCTTAATCTTGAGGGCTATGTCTCGACGTAGGACAACTCGTCTAAATCCAAGGCAAGGTAAAGAGATAAAAGACCATACCTTCTTCTTGGAAAGGGATGAATCTTCAACACCTTCAGTTTTCGCCTTTCTGATTGCAGTTAACCATTCAGACAACACATCGTCCATGTCATAGGCAATGTCTTTGAGCTTTTCTAACCAAAATTTGACTGATTCATCCTTCACTTGTCTCTTTTCAGCATCAACAAGCACAGCTCGGATGGATTTCAATCCGCTGGTGAGTTTTTCAATATCCTTTTTGACACCCACAACTAATCTCACCTGCTGTCGGATCTGTTCTTCCATGATTGAAGCCAATTGTGTTAAGATTACAGTTATAATTGCATCAGCCATGGTTGAAGATGACAACAGATTGAATAAAAAGCAAGTGAATTTGGCTCAAGAGATTAGACAAACAGAGATGGATTTTTTTTTTTGTCACTTCAATGAAAACTGAAACATGAGAAAGTTGTTTTTGGTGCTAAAAAATTCAGCCATCGAGTTTCCAGGTAAGAAATTAGAAATTTCCATGTGGGTTCCAAAAGGAAGACTTCTATTGTCGCGTTTTGATAGGAAGCTTCATATGTAGTAATAAGGAATCTTGGAAAATGCTGACAATGACATGCACCCTGAAATATAGAAGCGTGAAATTATTCCATTTATAAAATAATTTTACAGTTTCTTTTTTAATGACTCGGGTGTCCAAGTTTCTCCTCACTAGTCTTGAGAAGTGGCAGCCTTCCCCCTGGTTCGCCACTCAGATAAATCAGATACAGTTACAACCTATATACACTTGGGCAGAATTTTATAGTGTTTCTTATCATTTCTTACGACACAAACCCAGTCGTGCAGCAATCAAATATGCCAGCACCTGATAGCCAGCTGGAAGAAACAATTAGTTAGTTAATTGTTAGTTTGATAGTTGAGAATTATTCCTTTCTTCTGTTAGTGAGGTTATTAGTTAGGGAGTTTGTTAGTTCACATTTCTATAAATACATTGCTGTATTTCTCGATTACATAAGTTGGAAATAATAGAAAGTTTCATCTTCCTTCTTCTTCTTTTTGATTAATGCAGCAAAGACTGCCAAATGTATTAAATTGATTTCACAATTTCACATGGTATCAGAGCAATAGCAAGAATTCTTCATCAATTATCAGCAATTTGATCCATAAAACATGTCGGTCACAGCTGATTGTGCTTCCAATTCAACTGCTGATCCAAATAGCCATTACTACCTGCATCCAAATGACAATCCAGGAGCGTTGATCGTCTCAGAGGTTTTCAATGGGGACAACTACATCTCATGGAGCCATGCCATATCCATGGCATTAAGTGTGAAAAATAAGACAGGATTCATTGATGGTTCTCTGAAAACCCCAGATCCTTCAACTGGTGATACGTACAGCTGTTGGCTTAGAGCAAATAATCTGGTCTTATCGTGGTTATTGAATTCGATCAGCAAGGAAATTCGCCAGAGTCTACTGTATTTTTCATCAGCATTTGAAGTCTGGAATGAGCTGAAAATTCGATACAGCAGAAGTGATGGGCCTAGAGTTTATCACCTAGAAAAATGTCTCAGTGCCATCTCACAAGGATCACAAAGTCTTACCTGCTATTATAACTCATTCAAGTCTATATGGGAAGAGCTTATTAGCTATAGACCTTTACCAAAATGCAATTGTGGGATATTGTCGACTTGTACCTGTAACATCCTGAAAACCATGTCGGATACTCAACAAGCAGATGCTGTTATGAAATTCCTTATAGGATTAAATGAATCCTATTCTGCTATACGAAGTCAGCTATTACTTACTTCACCATTGCCATCACTAGCAAAGGTTTATGCACTTATGCTACAGGAAGAGAGTCAGAGAGATTTGCAGAACTCTTCCACAATGGAGTCATCAGCTATGATGTCAAGACAACCATACAATAAACCTCCCCCTTGGAAGGACAAAAGGAAAGGAAAATGCTCTCACTGTGGTTACTTTAATCATACTGTGGATAAGTGTTTTCATTTGATAGGATTTCCACTAGGTTGGAAAGGATCCAAAGGATCAAGGATTTCAGTAGAAAGCCCCACTGCACATATTGTTACTGGTGATCAGTCCACAGGGAGTGAAGGTTTAAGTCCATGTTTTAATCAAGACCTCTATAAGCAGTTCATGGCATTTGCTAAGACTCAGCAGATGCTTCCTCAATCCACAACTCACTCAACGGCAATTTCCAATACAGGTATATCACTATGTAATTCAATTTTTCCCAAAGCCAACACCAGAACTTGGATTATCGACACTGGAGCTACAGATCATATGGTCTGCTCACCCTCTTTTCTATCTTCAATTGATTTCACCACGAGCACAAAAGTCAATTTACCTGATGGTTCATTCGTTCCAGTTACCCACATTGGGAAAGTAAAAATTTCTGAAAATCTTGTGCTTAGTAATGTGCTGTGTGTACCTTCTTTTTCCTTTAATCTGTTATCAGTTTCGAAACTAACCAGAACATCAAATTTCATTGTGTGTTTCTCTGCCTCTCACTGTTTCTTACAGGATCAAACCAGCAAGAGGATGACTGGTTTTGCTAGAGAAAAGGATGGACTATATCATCTCATTCATGCCCAAAAGCAACCTTCATTTTCATCTGCCACTTGCACACCCAGAATAAATGCTGCTCGTAATGCCAGATTCAACCTGTGGCATTGCAGATTAGGACACATCTCTAGTGTTAGGATGTCCAAAATTCCCAGCATTTCATCAAATTTTTTTTTGTAAGGATTCAAGTGTCTGTGAAATTTGCCCTTTGGCAAAACAGAGGAAGTTACCATTTCCTGTTAGTGTTTCAGTTTCGAATAAGATTTTTGATTTGGTTCATGGTGATATTTGGGGTCCATTCCATGTTCTTTCTCTTGATGGTTACAAGTTCTTTCTCACATTAGTCGATGATTACTCCAAATGCACGTGGGTTTATATGATGCAATCAAAAGCTGAAACTCACAATATTATCCAGAAATTTCATCAAATGGTAATCACGCAATTCAATGCCAGAATTAAAATCTTTCGAACTGATAATGGGGCTGAGTTTCTCTTTAATGATTTTTATCATACACATGGTATTTTGCATCAAACAAGTTGCGTTGAAACCCCTCAACAAAATGGAACCGTGGAGAGAAAACATCAATTCATTCTCCAGGTTGCCAGAGCACTTCTCTTTCAATCAAACGTGCCTCTTCATTTTTGGAGTGATTGCATCATGTCTGCAGTTCATATCATCAATAGAGTCCCTTCCCCATCTCTGAATGATAAAAGTCCATATGAAATCCTTTTTCAAAAACCACCAGACTATCATCATCTCAGAACATTTGGGTGTCTTTGTTTTGCCAACACACTATCCAGCCAAAGAAATAAATTCTCTCCTCGAGCAGTAAAATGCATCTTCATTGGATACCCGTTTGGTTCCAAAGGTTATAAGGTTTATGACCTTCAGAATCACAGGTCATTTATTAGTCGAAATGTTGTTTTTCATGAATTTTCATTTCCCTTTATGTGTCAACCACTTCATTCTCCAACTGATCATCGAATTTTTCCAATTCCTGAACCTCCACTGGACATGTTTCCTCAATCCACCCAACACACAAATCTATCCTCAGGTACATATATTGAAGTTCCTTCTTCCACTAGTGATCCTGATATATGTCTCCCTATGCCATCAGATGTGAGCAGTCTAGATCCCTCTCCTCAACCAGCCAGAAGATCTGCTCGCCATAAACATCCACCCTCCTATCTCACTGATTATCAGTATGATCTACCTACCTCTTCGAATGCTCTCCAGTCATCCAGCATGCTGTCTAGATCTCCTGCTCCCGGTAAGC